AAAAAAAAAAAAAAAAAAAGAACTCCCCAGAAAGGGGGCATAGAGGGAACATACCTCAACATAATAAAGGCCATATATGACAAACCTACAGCTAACATCATACCCAACAGTGAAAAGCTGAAAGCATTTCTTCTAAGATCAGGAACAAGACAAGGATGTCCACTCTTGCCACTTTTATTCGACATAGTTTTGGAAGTCCTAGCCATGGCAATCAGAGAAGAAAAAGAAATAAAAGGAATACAAATTGGAAAAGAAGACGTAAAACTGTCACTGTTTGCAGATGACACGACACCATACATAGAAAATCCTAGAAAACTACTAGAGCTCATCAATGAATCTGGTAAAGTTACAGGATACAAAAATACACAGAAGTCTGTTGCATTCCTGTACACTAAAAAAAGATCAGAAAGAGAAATTAAAGAAACAACCCCATTTACCATCATCAAAAAGAATAAAATACCTAGGAATAAACCTACCAAAAGACCTGTACTCCAAAAACTTTAAGATGCTGGTGAAAGAAACTGAAGATGACACAAACAGATGGAAAGATATACCATGATCCTGCATTGGAAGAATCAGTATTGTCAAAATGAATATTCTACCCAAGGCAATCTACAGATTCAATGCAATCCCTATCAAATTACCAATGGCATTTTTCACAGAACTAGAACAAAAAAATTTTTAATTTGTACGGAGACACAAAAGACCCCAAATAGCCAAAGCAATCTTGAGAATGAAAAATGAAGCTGGAGAAATCAGGCTCCCTGACTTCAGACTATACTACAAAGCTACAGCCATCAAGAGTATGGTACTGGCACAAAACCAGAAATACATATCAATGGAACAGGATAGAAAAGTCCAGAAATAAACCCACACACCTATGGTCAATTAATCTACAACAAAGGAGGCAAGACTCTACAGTGGGAAAAAGACAGTCTCTTCAATAAATGGTGCTTGGAAAACTGGACAGCTACATGTAAAAGAATGAAATTAGAACATACTTTAACATCATACACAAAAATAAACTCAAAATGGATTAAAGACCAAAACTTAAGACCTGATACTATAAAACTCTCAGAGGAAAACATAGGCAGAACGCTCTCTGACATAAATCGCAGCAATATCTTTTTCAATCTGTCTCCTTGAGTAATGGAAATAAAAATAAAATAAACAAATGGGACCCAATTAAACTCAAAAGCTTTTGCACAGCAAAGGAAACCATAAACAAAACAAAAAGACAACCCACAGAATGGGAGAAAATATTTGCAAACGATGTGACCGACAAGAGGTTAATCTCCAAAATCTACAAACAGCTCATGCAGCTCAATATCAAAAAAAAAAAAAAAAAAAATCAAAAAATGGGCAGAAGACCTAAACAGACACTTCTCCAAAGAAGACATATACATGGCCAAGAGGCAATTGAAAAGGTGCCCACCATCGCTAATTATTAGAGAAATGCAAATCAAAACTACAATGAGATATCACCTCATACCAATCAGAATGGCCATTACCAAAAAATCTACAAACAGTAAATACTGGAGAGGGTGTGGAGAAAAGGGAATCCTCCTACACTGTTGGTGGGAATGTAAATTGGTATAGCCACTTTGGAGAAGAGTATGGAGGTTCCTTAAAAAACTAAAAATAGAGCCATCATTTGATCCAGCAATCCCACTCCTGGGCATATATCTGGGGAAAACCATAACTCAAAAAGATACATGTACCCCAATGTTCACTGCAGCACTATTTACAATAGCCAAGACATGGAAGCAACCTAAATGTCCATTGACAGATGAATGCATAAAGATGTGGTACACACAATGTTCATCGCAGCTCTATTTACAACAGCCAGGACATGGAAGCAACCTAAGTGTCATCAACAGATGAATGGATAAAGAAGATGTGGCACATATATACAATGGAGTATTACTCAGCCATAAAAAGAAACGAAATTGAGTTATTTGTAGTGAGGTGGGTGGACCCAGAGACCGTCATACAGAGTGAAGTAAGTCAGAAAGAGAAAAATACTGTATGCTAACACATATATATGGAATCTTAAAAAAAAAAAAAAAAAAGGCTCTGAAGAACCTAGGGGCAGGATAAAGATGCAGACATAGAGAATGGACTTGAGGACGTGGGGAGGGGAAGGGTAAGCTGGGACGAAGTGAGAGAGAAGCACTGACATATATACACTACCAAAAGTAAAATAGATAGCTAGTGGGAAGCAGCCGCATAGCACAGGGAGATCAGCTCGGTGCTTTGTGACCACCTAGAGGGGTGGGATAGGGAGGATGTGAGGGAGGGAGACGCAAGAGGGAGGAGATATGGGGATATATGTATATGTATAACTGATTCACTTTGTTATAAAGCAGAAACTAACACACCATTGTAAAGCAATTATACTCCAATAAAGATGTTAAAAAAAAAAGATGTGGTACTTATGTACAATGGAATATTACTCGGCCATAAAAAATAATGAAATAATGCCATTTGCAGCAACATGGATGGACCTAGAGATTATCATACTAAGTGAACTAAGAGAAAGACAAATATCACATGATATCACTTATATGTGGAATCTAATTTAAAAAATGACACAAATGAACTTATTTCCAAAACAGACAGACACACAGATCTGGAAATCAAACTTACGGTTACCAAAGGGGAAACATGGGGGGAAGGGATAAATTAGGAGATTGGGATTAACATATACACACTACTGTATATAAAATAGACAACTAATAAGGACCTACTGTGTAGCACAGAGAACTCTACTCAATATCTGTAATGACCTATATGGGAAAAGAATCTGAAAAAAAAAAAAAAGCATTTGTTTCAGACACTATTTCAAGTAGAAAAATCAAACAAGAAAGACATTCTCATAAATAAAAATCATAAATAAATAAAATATATTAAGAGAGATTATATGAATGTAAAGTATATTAGCAATTACATCAATCAGATTCTTAGAAAATCTCATGTCCATTAAATTTGTTTATGAAAACTAAAATACCTAAGAGGGACTTCCCTGGTGGTCCAATGGCTAAGACGCCGTGCTCCCAATGCATGGGGCCCAGGTTGGATCCCTGGTCAGGGAACTAGATCCCACATGCTGCAACTAAGAGTTCGCACACTGCAATAAAGATCCCACATGCCACAACTAAAATACCCCACGTGCCGCAACTCAAAAGATCCTGCGTGCCGCAACTAAGACCCGGCGCAGCCAAATTAAATAAATAAATAAAAATAAAATATTAAACAAATAAATGAATAAAATACCTAGGAAATTAACTCCGTGAGATGGAAAGTATTGATTTTAACCCTGAATGCCTCAAGAACAGTAGTTACAATAAGTCATTAGCAACAGTTCCCTTTTGTATGAACTGGAGGTGATAGCTTTCTATTATGTAGTTAAATGGAGAGAAAAGATTCCAAAGAAAAGCCCCGGGAATACAGCAAAATAAGGCAATGCTTTACAAAATGACTAACGTAGTAAATAAACATCCCCACGACAGCAATAAAATTCAGAGACTTTTTCCCTAAGAGATGCAATATAAGAGCCCAACTCTAGAGCCTGACAGGCCCAGATTCTCACAGCTTAGCTGCGTGACTTTTGGCTGCTGTTTCTTAACCTGTAAAATGGGATGATAATAATTGTACCTTTCTCGGACTTCCCCGGTGGTGCAGTGGTTAAGAATCCACCTGCCAAATGCAGGGGACACAGGTTCAAGCCCTGTTCCGGGAAGATCCCACATGCTGCAGAGCAACTAAGTCTGTGCACGACAACTACTGAGCCTGCGCTCTAGACCTCGCGAACCACAACTACTGAGCCCGTGTGCCACAACTACTGAAGCCCACGTGCCTACAGCCCGAGCTCCGCAACAAGAGAAGCCACCGCAATGAGAAGCCCGCGCAATGCAACGAAGAGCAGCCCCCACTCGCTGCAACTACAGAAAGCCCGCGTGCAGCAACGAAGACTCAATGCAGGCAAAAATAAAAAATAAATAAATTTATTTTAAAAAATAAAAATAAAATGGTACCATTCTCATAAGGTCAATGAGACCAGGCCTGTGAAGAACCTGAGATTTTGGCTTCTATTATTATCTTATGATCTTGCAATTCTTGACCCCTGATCTACTCATCGTCTGCTGTTAGATTTCTTGCCAGAAGAAAAGAGGTTGAACTGATCTCTGCTCTTTCTCCCCAGTTTCTTTTGTGAAAAATGTACAATATCAATGGGCTGGAGCCTCCAAGCCTCAGGTGGAGACAGGGAGACAAGCCCAAATCTACTACCCACTCTGGTCAAGTGAGTTGCAGCCAACACACACACGACTTCACACCAAGGAGGAGGCTTTCAGCCTGAATCCTCATCCCTGTGCTGCCACCTTAGCCCAGGTCTCCCGCACCTCTGCCAGGACCACTGCCTGGGCCTCCTCAGAGCCCCCTCTTCCGCGGTGGCTCCCCGCCAACTTTGCACATGAGCAAAAGGGTCTTCTACCCTTCTCCCCAGGTCATACCCTCTCTACACAAACCCACGGCCTCTTCTCAAACTACACTCCCCACTCTCTTCCCGCTTCAGCCCACAAAACCTCTCGTATCCTCGTGGGTGCCCTGCTGCCTCCCATCAAGGGCCTTTGCTTACTTGTGCCTCCCCTACCGGCCAATCTTCCCTGACCTCCCCGAATAGGTCATACTCCCTAAAATGTGTTTCCCCTCAGGTCCCAAATCAGTTACACCCTTCCATTGTGTGAGCCTGTCTCCATCCACTAGAGTCTGGGCTCCTGGAAGGCAAGGACTGGGTCGACAGCACAAGGCTTAATATACATAAATGCTCACTTAACACCAACTGATGATCAACCAGTCAGAGAGCAGCGCTCTAACCTAAAGCGGAACTGGGCTCCCGAGCTGATGCCGCAGCTAAGGGACTCAGTGAGGCTGGGAGAGAAATTTACTTAGCGGGGTAGCTCCCCAATTCCTAGGGAAGCAGCCCGTGCCAGCCATACCGTTTGCCTCCAAAGCTGGGCCTCTCTTCATCCGAGTCTCGCTCTGCCCACACTCCGTAGGTGGCCTCTTCCTTGGTCTGCCAGTGGCGCTGCCGGTTGGGGTTGAATTCATTCTGGAGATCCCAGTCGGTGATCTCAAAGTTCTCCCGCTCGTCCTCGTCATCCATGTGGCCTTGGCCTTCCCCGTCCCGGTACAAGTGGGACAGTGACATGCCCTGTCACTAAAGGAAGGGATAAAAAAAGGTATAGTCTGTGACAAGTCCTGGGAGCAGCAGCAGGCTCCCCTGTGAGTTCCCACTCCTTGCTGCCTGCAGAACTTCCTCCAAACTAAAATTCACTAACATCATTGTTACAATTCAATAAAGCAGACACTAAAAACATATTGTAGAAAACAACAGGTACCAAAACAGGTGGAACAAAAGACCAGTCCCAACAGTCCATGTGATTCTTAAGCATGTATTTCCTTGTCAATGTCGTAAAACATCACACACACTCACATACACACAATCCACATAAAAACAACTAAGGAAGTATGTTGTTCTATGTATTATTGCCTCAGAAATGAGGCAGACATCTTCCTGGACCCCAGATTTTATTCGTTTTTTCTATTATCGAGTAAAGAGTTTCCTCTGGACCTCTGACAGTCGCAGTACAGTGAGTTTTTTCCGAAGACGCTTTCTGAAACACTTTATTTGATGAGAGCCTCATCAAATGAGCCTTAGTTTTCTTCACAAAACATGAACCTCTTCTGAGGCACCAGAAGGCAGTAGTAATTAGGAACACGAATTTAACAGTACACAGCTGTGAAGTGGAATGCAGCCATCATGTCAGAGTAGCTGGGTGATGAGATTCAGCTGTCTCTTAAGTGGATTAATTGCAATACCAACCTTAGAGCAACAAGATGGTGCTTTAAAGTCACTTAGCTCACAATAAGTGCTCAAGGAAGAGCTTGTTATGGTAATCCCATGATTAGGTTCATAGCCCTTCCTATTACTGGATTCGGGAATGAGCCGAGCAAAGTGACTGTGAAACCGGCTGCTAAAATCACAGCCCGAGTTCAAATCTCCACTCTACCAGGTACTCAGTGTATGAGTATTAAATGCAGATGAAGAGCCACGCATGGGCCGCCACACAGCAATACATTCAATATATGACAGCACTGTGATTCGCCTCCAGCAGTTGCTGCAAACAGCCTTCAGGGGCGGGGGCTGGCTACTTCCCCAGGCGGTGTTAAACTCTGGTCAGCTCTCTTTGAAAGTTTCCCCTGCTTACTCTACTCACTGGTGCACTGGCTGGGTGCTGCCGGTCCCAGCCTCATCCAGGAGCGCAAAACAGGGAAACATTCTCAGAGGAGGCGGCGAGTCCCAGATACATGGGAGTCACTAACACTGCTGCCTCCTTGGGCACAGAACATGGGGATAACCACATAGTTGTCACGAGTAATAGAGCCCCCGGGGGGTGCTAAGCACTTGCTAGACGCTTCAGGCCGATAATCTCATATAGGAATCAAGACACTTCTACGAGGAAGGTACTACTAGCGTCCTCAAGCTTCAGATTAAGTAAAGTGAGGCTAAGTTAAATAATTTACCCTAGGTTCCACGGCTGGCGGGGCTCGAAACCAGGTGGGCCTGAAGCCAGGGCTCGGGTGTCTCCCTGCCATGCTGTCCAGGCCCCGCGGCGGACACTCACTCGGTGCCTAACTCGGCCCAGGCCCCGACTGCCCGGTGACCCCGCGCGGCCCGCCCCTCTCCCCGCCTCGGCAGAGCCGTCTGCGAAAGGGAAGCGCAACTGGCGAGGCCGAGGCCCACCTCCCCCGAACCGGAGCCCCCACTACCACTGGCACAGAATCCCCCGAGTCCCCTGCCCACTCCCGGGCGCCGCTCACCTCTCTCCTGCTCCGCGTATCAAACACAACCGCCCGCGCCGGGTTAGAAGCTCGACGCTTGGGGCCGGAACCCGGATGTGCCGGCACAGGCGCGCCGGAAATGACATTTCTCGACAGCGGAAACGTCGAGCAGGTTGCCATGGCAGCAAGGGGACGCTAGGGCGGCTTTGGATCTAGAGTGGCTGAGCTACTAGGGAGGGTTTTCAGGGCCCGGAATGGAGGAGGGCTGATTTCCCTGTTGCGCCCGCTTCGTGGCGACGCCCAGCCTGTGACGACGGGTGTGGACGTCGTCGAGCCACCCTAGCCTAGGGAGGCTCCTTTGCCAGCCTGAGATTCTAAATCTGCAAAGTGGGGATATAGGACTAGCTCATGGGATAGCTGTGTGTGAGACATTTGCGGGGGGCGGGGGGCGAGTTAGAGGTGGGGACGGGACATGGCATTCAAATAGGAATAATGAAGGTCAAGACTGTCTCCTGGATCTTGGGGTGTCTCAGTATAAGCACCGTCGTGGGCACAGATCAGTTGCCTTATACCGGTGTTTGAGGGAGTGAAGGAATGAATGGGCAAACTCAAGAATTCCCAAGTATTCCCGCCAGAAAATCTCTCCATTCTCTTCCTTTCCAACAGGTTGGTAAATAAATCCATTCAATGATCTAATAAAAATGTACTGAGGGCCTACACTGTGCTAGGCTCCAGGGATCCAGGGAACAAAGAGGCACCAGGCACTCCCAGGGAATCCCTTACCAGCTCTGGACTCTGTGTGGGTACACAGAGTCCAGAGTTCCTATCTCAGCTCTGCCACTTACCAACTGTGGACCTCGGGCAAGGCATTAATTACATGTTAAGCCTCAGTTTTCTCTTCTGCAAACGGCTGAGATAAAATATGTAAGCAATTAAAACTGTACCTGGTACCTAACAGGTGCTTAGAGAGTGTTAGCTGCTAAATTTCGCTTTGTTTTCTCTCCCTCTCTCTCTCTCTCTGTAAGATGAAAAGATCCAGGAGGCATTGTCACAGTATACACAGAGCACTGGACTTGGAGTCAAAAGACTTGGGTCTAAGTTCCCATGGTTGTTATTAATTAAACGAGAACCTACATGAAGCCAATTACATGCCAGCCTCTTGGGAACAGGGACTGTGACTTAATGGTCTCTGTATCCCAATGACATGTCCAGTCCATGTGCCTTACACATAGACACACACTACATAGTATGTACTCAGGAAAGAATCTGGAAAGTGAGGTTTTAGTAGAGGAGAAGGCGGGGGAGAGAGTCTTACAGACTGAAAAGTCCACTACGGAGCAGAGTGAGGGAAACACGGAGACAAGATAAACCATGTTGAGCCTGGGCCTGAAAATGTGTATGCTTCTATTTATAAGTCAAAGGCAAAAATAAAAATAAGCCTGGCTTCTCGGTAGCTATGTCCATAGCTCTACAGCAGATTTTATGGATCTCAGTTACTTTGCTCTTGACAGACGGATGCTAGTGGATTTGTTTCACCAAATGGACCCTACCATGTGGCTTCTGGAAAAGGGAACCTTCTGGATGGTTGTGGGGTCACTGAGAATACAGGCTCTGATTGTGTGTCCCCTAGAATGGGGCGAATGGGAATCACGTGATAGAATGTCCTGAGAAGACCGAAGCATCACTCCTGTGATTTCCTGCCAAGCTGCATAACCTGAATGGAATCATGATACAGAAGGCAAACCCCATTAAAGGGACTTCTACAAAACAACCAGTCTGTCATCTTCAAAAGTGTCAAGGTCATGAAAATGAAAGACCCTACAACTGTTCCAGACTGAAGATGACTAAAGAGACATGACAACTAAATGCAACACATGACTCTGAAATAGATCTTTTTGCTATAAAGGAAGTTATTGGGGAAGCTGTCAAAACTTAAATGGGGTAAGCTGAGGTTTCCATGGTAGTGATGTGTCGATGTTCATTTCCTGATTTTGATGGTTGTCCTGTGGTTACGATGGAGAATGTCACTGTTTGTTGGAAATACTAAAGTATTTGGTGCAGGGTGGAGGGGCATCACATAGGCAACTAAATCTCAAACGATTAAGAGAAATAATGTTTTCTCTATGTACTTAGAATTTTTTAAAAGTGAAGGTTCTGGAGTAAGACGTTAGGGATCCAAATCTCCACTTTGCTGCGTCCTAGATATGGGACCTGGGGCAGGTTGCTTTGCTTCTCTACACCTCAGTTTTCCCACCTCTAAAATGGAGATAAAGATAGCACTGCTCTAAAAAGGTTGTTCCCAGGACCAAAATAAAAAGGGGGAAGGCTAATTAATGCATGTAAAGCCCCTGGCATAGTAAGATCTTCTTAAATGGTTGTGGCTATTTTTATTTAAAAGACACAATCTCATATCTCTGCATAGATGGTCTCTAGCCTCAAAGATAGTGGTTTTTCCAGATTTTTGGACTCAAATGCACAGCCTCAGGAAAATCAAGGAGAGGTGGCCAGAGGTGTAGTTTCAGGATCTCATACCCAGCCTGGTCTCCTGGCACTGCCCAGGTAAACCCTTGATTTGGGACCCAGGGACATCCAGACCCATGTCTAGATTCCCAATGAGGTGCTCAGACATGTAGACTGCCCAGGAGGGGGTTGCCAGGCAATAAGGTTCCTCAGCAGAAGCCTGGCAGGGCTCTTGGACAATCATTGGTCCAGCCCTCCCTTCTCACAGAAGAGGCAACAGAGGAGGCCACGCCACAGGGGAGGTACCAGGGCCACACAGAGGACTGAAGGACACAGTCAGACCAGTCCTTTCTCTGCTACACGGTGCATGCACCCACCCACATCATTTCTGTCCACTTACTTGAGCTAAAACTTATAGGGTGACTACTGTCTGTTCAGGGTCACAAAGACCTCTGCATATGTCATCTCTTCGATTCCTCAACCTTCCAAGGTCGTTTCTAAGCCGAGTCCACACTCCTAATCACCCCTTAGGCAGCTCACACCATACAGTACTGTTTCCATATTGCCTTCAAAAGATTTGGGGGGGGGGCAGGAAATCCTCACTCAGTTACAACTTTAAATAGGTTGGTACCATAGAAACAATCTGTAAGTGGCATTTCAAAGATGATATATTTAAAGCCTAGCACAAGTACCTTTTCTGGGACATTGACATTCTACAGTTGCACGTGGCTTAGTCTTATTTTGAGTTTTGTTCAAAAAATATATATATCATGTCCTGAACTTGGCAGAATTGAAGATCCAGATCAGCTGAGATTAGCAAATTTGGTTTCAAGTGTTTCTTACAGATGGTTTCTACCCTACTTATCTTTCAAGAATTTGTGAACACTATCCTTAGATAGCAAGCTGGGACAAGGTTCTGCAGGCCTGGGACATTATCTGTAAAGCAAGCATCCTCAAAAGGACACAGGTGAGGTGAAGTGACACTGCACCAGCTCCAGGCATATCCCTTAACTGCGTGGCATCTACTCTGGGGGAGCCCAGCTGCCATATAAGGAGTCTGCCTAACCATGCTACAAGGAAGTCCAGGCTCGCCGTGTGGAGAGGCTACATGATAATGACGCCTCCAGATCCTCCAACCATCCCCAGCCCAGGCACCAGACATGTGACTGCAGGAGCCTTCAGTGGACAGAAGCCCCAGCCACCATCTGACTATGAGAACCACTGAGCTCACTCTAGTTAACTCCTAGAACTGAGAGATTCAACAATAAATGCTTTTAAGTCACGAAGCTGGGGGCTGTTGAGTCATGCAGCAATAGATGGGTGGAACAGTGAATGAGGCCGGATGTCTTCTGCTAAACCTTGAGGGGTGATCATGAGCTTCCTGTGTCCATGACTGCATCAACTACCCATCCCACCTCTGTCTCAAGACAAGGAGAGACAAGAGCTGCCTCACACTGCAGGCTCATCACACACCAGGCACCACTGCCCACATCACCCATCGGCCCCTCCCAATAAACCCAGGAAGTTCTACCTTCCTCATTTTACAGATGAAGAAACAGGGGAGCAAACCACACAGCTGGTGCTTTGGCCTGACTCCAAAACTCCATACCCCACGCCACTGTGAGTCACTACCTTCCCAAAGCCTCACTACTGTCATGAGAGCTAACGCAAGGCAGTGTGGGTAAAACAGTTAACCCTTAAAAGATAACAAACTGTTCTGGGCCTGGTTGATCCCTAAGCATTTGAGCAGCCAAGGACGAACTCAGCAGGCTTGGAGAGTTCCAACAAACCCTGCACGTGACAAAGGATCAGCCTGGACCAGCTCCTGGGAGCTCACCTCTGAGCCCTTGGGATGTCCTCACTAGAAGGAGTGCCTTTGAATACCTAGGACCCTGGACCACAACAGGCCATAGAGTCTATGTTAACAATGTGATTTATGGGGGGTCTTGGATCACACTGTATCATGTGACCTCTGGAAGGGCTGGAGACCAAGTAACTATGGTCAGTTGCTGCATACCTTTGTGACTGATGCCAAGTAAAAAATGCTGGACACTAAGGCTCAAGTGAGCCTTCCTGGCTGGCAATACTCCATACATGTTGTCACACATTGTTGGTGAGAGAATCAAGTGTGTCTGTGAGACTCCAGTGGGAGAGGACATCTGGGAGCCTGTGCCTGGGCTCTCCTGGACTCTGCCCTATGCGCCTTTTTCCCTTGCTGATTTTAATCCGTATCCTTTCGCTGTAATAAACCGTAACTGTGAGTCCACGAGGTTTTCTGAGTTCCGTGAGTCCTTGTAGCAAATCGCCAAAACCAAGGGTGGCCTTGGGGCTCCCTGACACAGGAGTTCAGCTGTGCCCTTGCGTGGACCTATTCTCCAGCCTTTGTTCTTCATCAACCCACCTGACAAAACTCGACATGGAAGAAAAAAATCTATTCACTCTGTAAAGTAAGGCACAGACAAATGAGTCCCTGTTCAGTTTATTCAAATAATATATATATACTTTTCTCTGTGAGTAAAACTGAGGAGGAATCAAAGAAAGCCTCATATATTAAATTCTTAAATAGATTCTTTGAATTCAAAAGTAAGGGTCAACAGGAGAGGCACGGGTGGTGGGCCCTGTCCCAGCAAACAAGGCCACCAAGGCAGTCCTGCAAATTAAGGAGGATGGTAAATCCATTTCTTAAAAAAAACTTCTCGAGGGGAAAAATATAAAACACCTAAGTTTCAAAAGCCGGACTACCTCCACACTCTTGGTTCTCTACCCCAGACTATCCTAAGATAGAGTGTTTCAGGGTTAAGTTTTCAATGATTCAGGTTTTGCAAACATATGCAAATACATTCCTCGTGAGCAGTCCTGTTTTGGTGATTAATAGCAAGCAATATGCTTGGATTAGAGGTCCGATTTCCACTCAAATGCAAAGTTTCTTCTCTTCTGGCAGCAAAGCCACTTGCAAAGATCTGAAAGGGGAGAAAACTGGTGTTAGGCCCAGAGTCGCAATTCTGAAACAGATCTTGTATATTTATATGTGTGATTGCAGGACAGATGGTCTTCATGCATTCATGTAAGCATGTGAGATTTTCTATAGCATCCAGATGGCTGGAGAGAATTTACCTTTAAAAATGTTTCTTGGGTCCTTACCCACATCTCAACCTGTCGCCACTTGACCTCAAAGATATCACTTTTCTGATTTATGAAGAGCAGATGGCAATGATTAGCTAAATAAAGTACCCTGTCTCTGGGACCTCATCTAAAGAGTAAAGCGAGAAATAGATCTGGCTTTCGTCAACGAGAAGGTTCAGGATTCTACTAATGAACCTGCAGAAAGAGAGAGAGGGAAATCGAGTTGGGGAAAAACTTGGAAAAAGACTGCTTTCAACGTGAGACTTCTTAGGAATTAAACGGAAGTCCTGGATCTTAGCACAACTCAAGATGGGAATGCTGATAGGGTGACTTCGTGTCTCCAGCCTTGTGGGCTGGTGCAAAGTGGATCTCAAGAAAAACGAAAAAATATGCTGATTATTTAAAAATAAGACAAGGAAACTAAAAATCGACTAGAGGCTAGAAGCTCTTTTACAGTTTAAAAGAATAGGCCAAATACCCGGGCAAGTTGGTCCTGGCCTCTCTGACTCCCCCAGGTTTCCCTGAGCCTGATCAGAGAGGCTGGGGAGCATAAGGAAGTGAGCTCACTCGCTGGAGCCTTAACTCCAGGGCCCACGCCTGCCGCGACGTGGTCCCAGCGCTCCCACCCGGGCCGGCTCACTTCATCTCACGACCACCCTTGGAGGCAGACAGTGATGAATCCCCATTCTCCAGATGGGGAAAACAGAGGCCAACAGGAGTTGAACCTCCAGTGAGTCCTTAAATCTTTGACTTCCCAAGTTCAGAACCTGTTTCCCTGCCCCTTGGCAAAACATGGATGGATAAATATGCACTTAAAATCGTTTGTTAAAAGCAAACTCTGGGGGAGATGACTTTTGGTGGCTCTGTGGCCTTAGGCAAGTCAACGCCCTTCTCTGGGCTTTGGTTTTCTCCTCCATAAAATGGGACAGTCATGTCACCTGCCTCCCAGGGATGCTGAGGGTTAAAGGAGTAACACAGGAAGAGCACTCAGCCCAGTGCAGTAGGGGTTATTCTTAGACCAGAACTGCTTGTGACTATTATTACGACATTAATTGCTTTGGGCCAACCTGATGCTGTTTATAGAAGCTGGGTTGGCAGACAGCATTCTGTGCAAAATGGTTCTAGAATCCCCCCATCACACCTGTCCTCTGCAACCCCTCCCCAATGCCAGATAAACCTTTTTCTGGTTGGTTCAGCATTGATCCCTGCCCACACCCCTGATCCAGAGCCAGGAGACTAAGCCTTGATTCTATAAATAGCTCCCCAGGCTGGGGCCAGGAAACCTCCTGATGGGGCTGGGTCAGCCCACCTTGGTGGCCACTCCTCCCCAGGGAGGCTCAGGAAGGACAAGCTTTTCAGAAAAGTGACTCGTGGGCTCAGAAGTGTCGGAAGATCCCGGCAAAGTCCGCAGGCCTACCTGGAAATCATGAGCTTCCTAGGTGGGAAGAGGTGCTATTCTGGTTCACCTGGAGGAAGACAACACACAGAGGAAGGGTCACAGCCAAGTGGTGGTACCAGGGCCTCATTGCCCTGAGGTTCAGCCCTCAGCATCACTGAAACGGGCACACTCCCTCACCGAGTAGCTACCACACACCTACTATGTGCCGGGTGCTGGGGCTACTGTGAACATGATAGACCCTATCCTATCCCCACCCAGCTCACATTCTAGTGGGGAGAGCCTGCTCAACAAACACATCCGTAAGACATCCGTAAGACCCAGGCAATACAGTGGGCTGATATGAGTGACTGGTGTTGGGGCTCCTTCAGATAAAGTGGTTTGGAGAGGCCACTACAGGGGGATGACATTTAAGGTGGAGTGTAATGAAAAACCTACATGTGTTTGCCTTGGGTTCCTGGCACCAAGCTCCTAGAACCCTTGGAATCTCCCTAGTGAGAAAAAGCATCTTTTGTATGCAAATGAGATGACTGGTGGCTGGGGGCCCCTGGCTTCAGGATGTGGGCTTGGTTACCACAAAGGCTAAGGCATGATTAAAGGGTTGGAAATACCAGCGCCCTCCACCCCAACCTCTGGGGAAGGGAGGAGGCTGGAGGTTAATAACCAACAGCCAATGATTTAATCAACCATGCCTACTTAATGAAACCTCCATAAAGATCCATAAGTGATAGGGTTCAGGGAGTCGGGGTGGGCGATCACAGGGAGGTGCCGGGAGGGTGGTGCACCCAGAGAGGGCATGGGAGCTCCACGCCCCTTCCCCCATACCTCGCCCTACACATCTCTTCCACTGGGCTGTTCCTGAGTTACAGCCTTTATGATAAACTGGTGATCTAGGAAGTAAAGTGTTTTCCTGAGTCCTGTGTGTTGTTCTAGTGAATTACCAAACCTGAGTGCTGGGGGGGGGGGGGGA